TATCTCAGCCAAATAATGTTCGATTCTGGAATTTTATACCATTTTGGACTCGTGAGGATCAGTACTATCGGTTGGCATCAAAAAAATGAAAATCTAAATTTTGACCCAAATCAACAAAATGGCAAGGGGTTACATCACGTTTTTCCTCAAAATCGGGGTCGGTTCGAAAATCAAAACTTTTTTGATGATTTTTTTTTAATATCTCGGGTAAATATTGTTTGATTTTGCAATGTTATACCTTTTTGCATTCGTACGGATCCATATCATCAAATGGCATTCAAGCAAATTAAAAATAGAAGGGTTAAAAAAAGCTGTGGACCAAAAAACGAATTGTTTGTAAAGAAACCCCTATTTTGATGGTTTTTTCCAATATCTCAGCCAAATAATGTTCGATTCTGGAATTTTATACCATTTTGGGCTCGTGAGGATCAGTACTATCGATTGGCATCAAAAATATGAAAATCTAAATTTTGACCCAAATCACCAAAATAGCAAGGGGTTACATCACGTTTTTCCTCAAAATCGGGGTCGGTTCGAAAATCAAAACTTATTTGATGATTTTTTTTTAATATCGCGGGTAAATATGGTCTGATTTTGAAATGTTATACCTTTTTGCATTCGTACGGATCCATATCATCAAATGGCATGCAAGCAAATTAAAAATCAAAGGATTAAAAAAAGCTGTGGACCAAAAAACGAATTGTTTGTAAAGAAACCCCTATTTTGATGGTTTTTTGCAATATCTCAGCCAAATAATGTTCGATTCTGGAATTTTATACCATTTTGGACTCGTGAGGATCAGTACTATCGATTGGCATCAAAAAAATGAAAATCTAAATTTTGACCCAAATCCACAAAATGGCAAGGGGTTACATCACGTTTTTCCTCAAAATCGGGGTCGGTTCGAAAATCAAAACTTTTTTGATGATTTTTTGTTAATATCTCGGGTAAATATTGTCTGATTTTGAAATGTTATACCTTTTTGTATTCGTACGGATCCCTACTATCAAATGGCATTCAAGCAAATTAAAAATCAAAGGATTAAAAAAAGCTGTGGACCAAAAAACGAATTGTTTGTAAAGAAACCCCTATTTTGATGGTTTTTTGCAATATCTCAGCCAAATAATGTTCGATTCTGGAATTTTATACCATTTTGGACTCGTGAGGATCAGTACTATCGATTGGCATCAAAAAAATGAAAATCTAAGTTTTGACCCCAATCAACAAAATGGCAAGGGGTTACATCACGTTTTTCCTCAAAATCGGGGTCGGTTCGAAAATCAAAACTTATTTGATGATTTTTTTTTAATATCTCGGGTAAATATTGTCTGATTTTGAAATGTTATACCTTTTTGCATTCGTACGGATCCATATCATCAAATGGCATTCAAGCAAATTAAAAATAGAAGGGTTAAAAAAAGCTGTGGACCAAAAAACGAATTGTTTGTAAAGAAACCCCTATTTTGATGGTTTTTTCCAATATCTCAGCCAAATAATGTTCGATTCTGGAATTTTATACCATTTTGGACTCGTAAGGATCAGTACTATCGATTGGCATCAAAAAAATGAAAATCTAAATTTTGACCCAAATCACCAAAATAGCAAGGGGTTACATCACGTTTTTCCTCAAAATCGGGGTCGGTTCGAAAATCAAAACTTATTTGATGATTTTTTTTTAATATCTCGGGTAAATATTGTCTGATTTTGAAATGTTATATCTTTTTGCATTCGTACGGATCCCTACCATCAAATGGCATTCAAGCAAATTAAAAATCGAAGGGTTAAAAAAAGCTGCGGACCAAAAAACGAATTGTTTGTAAAGAAACCCCTATTTTGATGGTTTTTTGCAATATCTCAGCCAAATAATGTTCGATTCTGGAATTTTATACCATTTTGGACTCGTGAGGATCAGTACTATCGATTGGCATCAAAAAAATGAAAATCTAAATTTTGACCCAAATCCACAATATGGCAAGGGGTTACATCACGTTTTTCCTCAAAATCGGGGTCGGTTCGAAAATCAAAACTTATTTGATGATTTTTTTTTAATATCTCGGGTAAATATTGTCTGATTTTGAAATGTTATACCGTTTTGCATGCGTACGGATCCCTACCATCAAATGGCATTCAAGCAAATTGAAAATCGAAGGGTTAAAAAAAGCTGTGGACCAAAAAACGAATTGTTTGTAAAGAAACCCCTATTTTGATGGTTTTTTGCAATATCTCAGCCAAATAATGTTCGATTCTGGAATTTTATACCAATTTGGACTCGTGAGGATCAGTTATATCGATTGGCATCGAAAAAAATGAAAATCTAAATCACGTTTTTCCTCAAAATCGGGGTCGGTTCGAAAATCAAAACTTTTTTGATGATATTTTTTTGAATATCTCGGGTAAATATTGTCTGATTTTGAACTGTCATACCTTTTTGAATTCGTACGGATCCCGACTATATATTGGCATTCAAACAAATTAAAAATCGATGGATTAAAAATGACCACAAAACGATACATTTCGTCCGATTTTGAAATGAATTCTTACGGATCCCTACATTAAATTGACATATAAACAATTACAAATTGGAGGGTCAAATCAAAGTTCTTGAGCGAAAAACAAATCGTTTGTAATGTCAAACTTTTTTGTTGATTTTTATGAATATTTCTAAAAGCTCGCAGGGACCAACTGCATCGACCCGCATCGAATAAGTATAAGTAGCATTATCATCATTTGGTATTCCGTGGCCGGATATCGATAACTATTCAAACGAAACTCATATTTAATTAATTTTTTTTTTCAAGTTTTTTTTATTTTTGTTATATATTTTTATTAAATACATTTCGTTCATTTTTCTTGTTGTTTATTAAATTTGTATGCATTTGTTGCTGTTCATTGTGTTCATCTCTCATTATTTTATAATGTATAATTATTTCTCATTTGTATTGTTTTATTTTATTTCTGGTGTTTTTCGGTTTACTTATAGTTTGACACATACATACATACGCCTGGACGCTATGTATGTGTGCATGACAGTAATAGAATGCCTCAGAGAGAGCGAGAGAGATGGAGGGAAAGAGAGAGACAGCGAATTCAAGTTGGAATAGAATCAAGAACTAAGCAAAAGTTCAAGCTTTCACTCGGATTAAGTAAATATTTCGATTCTGCTGCAATCACACATGCCTCAGCTGTGTTCACACTACTCTTTGGCCTCTCGCATTCCTGCTGGTCTGCTCTTAGATATTCTAGCTACTGCTGTGTACTTTACTGCCTACTGCTGGAAGCCTCAAAAAATTGTTGCTATACTTAAGATTTGCTGTTTCTGTTACTGTGATTTTCACTGTCTCGATTTTGACTGCTATTTGCTATTTGATGTGAAATGGAAATCTTATGCATAGAAATTGCAAATAAAATCATATATTGGATCGTATAGTTTGTATATATTAAATATAAATATGTATTTACAAAAGCCGTTTATAACTTGCAGCTGGACCAAGCTAAGCTGTGTGCACACCAGCTAGGTGTGAACAAGCTAAACTCAATATACATATATATATATGCATTATATATATATAATATGTATGTATATATGCACTCGATGTGTGTGTGTGTGCGTGTGGGTGTGTGTAGGTGTTTGCTCTCTTTCTAACTCTAGACAGTGTTGCATAACGTAAGGCTTAAAAGTGTGTGAAGAACAAAATCAGTATTGAAAAAGGTCTGCTTATTGCACAGCATTGCCAGACTTAAAGTATAAGTATTACAAATTAGGTAACAAATAACACAAATTGCTAGTCATAAAAATAGGCATACAATAATAATATGAATCATAATAATAATACTTAAATACTTTGGCACACATAAAACATAATTTGCATTGAAAATCATAACTGTTAAATGATATAATACATATTTAAAGTCGTTTATTGCACATATATAGATAATGCTGTCACATCTGACAAAATACTTGATCTTCTTTTTTCTTTTTGTTTTCGTTTTCGTTTTCGTTTTTTTTTTTTTGTTTTTCTTTCTTGTTTGCTCTGGAACCAAAAAACCATTGACTGCTTTTTAATATTGTGTGTTGTATATATATATATATACATATAATATATATATATATATATATATTATATAAATAGTAAGAATATATACGTATATATTATAATATATCTTTCATAATATGCTTAGTTAGCCCGTATTTAACTTTTTGCATTCTACATATTAGAAACTAACACTTAAAACCGACATTTTCATATGCGTTGCTATATCCTTGCCATGCGATATCGAGGTCGATATCGATATCGATATCGATACAGGTTATCGATAACGTTACACATCGCTTTATCGAATCCTACTCATATCCAATAATCAAAAGCGCTTTGAGCGTTCTACTTTTGCATGCCTGGCCTAAAACTAGGAAAAAAAAATACGTTTGCTTCGCCCGCCTCTAGATAAGTTACGATAAATCTAACTATCGATTTGTATGATCGATACACATATATATATATATTAGTTTGGAACATAAAATTAATCAACAAATTTGTTTCCTTGGAATTGCTGCTCCGCTTCAAAGAAAACAAAAAAAAATCAGACGAGAAAAGCGCAAATCCCAAACAGTTGTATGTCTACATCGTGTAAACGTTCCGGGTAAATGGGGCTCAAAGAGTTCGTGATCGGTGTCTAAGAGTGTGAGAGTGTATGCTACGTAGTATTCTTAGACTTTGCAAGTATTTAATATACGCGTGATAATCGCTAGATACGAATAGATGCCAAATTCTGTGTGATGCACCGGTTGCACTTATCGTGAATTACGAGATTCGTGTAAACATGTTTACATAAAATCAACAAAAAACTAATAGAAAAACCGTGTACTACGACTAGCAACTGTCAAGTGCTCTTTTGTATTAGATCTAGGTAGAGTATATATATATATATATATATATATATATATATATATATATATATATATATGTATTTCATGTATATATATGGTGTATAAATAATTTATGCGATTTGCCTTTTTCTCGTATTGTCTGAAAGTGCTACGTACTCTGCTCTTTTTTCTTCTTAATGTTTTCTTTAACACTAAGCTACATAGTTCGTGTTTCCTAATACTCTTCTCTAGCTTTAACTCATTTGCTTTTTCGTGTTCTGTATGAGTGTGTTTGTGTGTTCGATCCAAATGAAAAGTTAGAGCGTTACAGAAGTTGGTGAGTAGAAACAATTTTAGTTAAGACTAGAGCATATAACTAGTGTATACCACTCGTCATATACACATGTATATATATATATATATATATATATATATATGATATATAGTATATAGTATCTAGTATATATAGTATATAGCTGTATGCCACTTGGAGAAATAATCTGCTTTCAATTTCATTTTATAGGCTATCAATATGTATGTGGAATTCTCTGCTGTAACAGCTAACAGTTAACAGTTAACATTTAACAGCCAAAAGTTAACACTTAATGGCTCTGTTAACCCTGTTAACAGCTGTAATTTACAGCAGCTGCGCTATAACCGGCTCGATGAGACACATATGCTCCGCTCCGCGCACGGGCAACCGATTCAGGCAGAAGTGTCTGATCATATCGGGCACCGTCTCGAAGGGTCGACTGAACTGGCCGAGAATGTATTGGCCGGCCTCGTTGCGCTGGATGCGCATATGCATAAAACCCTTGGCGCCCCTGCGAGCGAGCGAGAGAGAGAGACAGATAGATTAACATATTTGATAATATCAGGTCTAATATTATTTGATAACCTACTTGAGCGACAGGGAGTAGTCCTGCTTGGTGGACTCGCAGTTGCGCACCAGAAACGAGCCCTCGGCCAAGGGACGAAGCGTTGTCTCCGCCTCAATGCGCGTAATGGCGCCGTGGTACCAGCTAGAGAGAGAGAGAGAGAGAGAGAGGGACAGTTTTAGCATAACTCAAGACACTTAAAGGAATACTTTTCTTTTTAATCAGTTAACAGTGAATAGTTAACTGTCAACAGCCAACAATTAACAGCGAGCAGTTAACAGTTAACAATTAAGAGTGAGAAGTTAACAGCCAAAAGTTAACAGACAACAGTTAAAAGCGTACAGTCAACACTGTTAACTGGTTAGCTCGTTATGGAAAAGAGAGAGAGAGACATAGAGACAGAGAGAGAGAGAGAGAGACACTCAACGCACCCCTGACGCTCCAGTGGTATGGTCACATCAATCAGATCGACAGCTGTTACGTAGCCCTGGCACAGATTCATGTTCAGCTCCTTGTGGCTGCTCAAACCGCGCAGATCGAGACTCCCAAACTGTTTGTTCACCTGACGCGGCTCGTTAAGATTCAAAGTGAGATTCTGACGGAAAAGCGTCGTGTCTGCAAAGAAAAAGAAAATGCAGAGGGATAGAGAGAGAGAGAGAGGGAAGAGAGGGAGAGGAGAGATAGAAAGATAGATAGATATATAGAGAGAGAAAGACAGACAAAGAGATAGATAGATAAATAGATAAATCACATAGATAGAGAGAGAGAGAGGGAAGAGGGAGAAAACAGATAGATGGATATATTGATAGATGGATGGATAGATAGAGAGAGAGAGAGAGAGAGAGAGAGAGAGAGAGAGACAGACAGAGAGATAGATATATAGATATAGAATGAGAGAGAGGGAGAGAACAAGAGAGAGAAAGTATGTTAGAGATGAGAAAATTGAACTTTAATGGAATATTTTTTGGAAATTATGTTTGAATTACAATTAAAAGCAATTTTTATTACATTTAAAAGTAATTTGAATTACCCGAAAGTTATTTGAATTAAATGAAATGGATAGATTAAAGGAGAGACAGCGGCAAAGTTGACTCACCCAGCTTGCTGGCCAGCTTCTGGTCGTCGCGCATGGAGTGACTGGAGGATGCCTGCGAGATGCCGCTGGACTCGGTGCTGTGCATCAGGAGATTGGTGATTTCGGCCTGGTTGGCGCGCAGGCGCCGTCGCAGCTTGGGCATGTCGAAGGGCAGGTCGCCCAGGTCGACGGAGGTGGCGCTGCCCGAGGTGCAGCCTCCTGCGGCCTCCTGCTGCAGCGTCTTTCGGCGTCGCAGCTTGGGCATGTCGAAGGGCAAATCACGCAGCTCCTGCGGCAACGCGGAGCCGCCAGCAGCAACTGCTGCCACCGCGGCGGAGGCGGCAGCGGAAGCGCCTGCTGCCGCCGACGAAGAAGTGTCCGCGGCGCTGCCATTGCCCAGCTGCAGCCTGGGCAGCGTCAGACGCTGCGTCAGCGCCAGCGTCGCCGGCTTGCCATCCTCGCGCGAGTGCAGCGAGATGCCGCTGTCCGAGCCAAGCAGCTCGTCGGCCAGATGGAGCAGCGCCTTGTTCGGCGCGGCGGCGGCACGCTGACTGCGCTGCTTTGCCAGCAGCTGGACAGGCGCAGACGCAGACGCAGGCACAGGGCCAGAAGCTGATGCATCTGCTGTCTTGCCAGACTCCTCCTGCTGCTGCTGCTGCTGCTGCGACTGCTCGGAGGCGCCGCTGGCCGAGGCCGGCTCTTGCGAGGACTTGTCCGATATGGGGCTGAGTATGTGCAGCTTTGAGTGCAGCAGCAGAGGCGGCCGCAGCGGATAGGCAACACTGGAGCTGGCGCTGCCGCTGCCGCTAGCGCTGCCGCTGGCGCTGCCGCTGCCGCTCTCCGAGCTGTGCGAACTGAGCGAACTCGAGTGGCGCGACTCGGAGCTGGAGGTGCTGCGATTGCCCTCGCTGGTGCTGCTGCGCAGCGACTCCATGCTGCCGCCGCTGGACGAGGTGGCGATGCTCTCCGTTGAGCTATAATTGTGGCCGGCGCCGCGCCTGGACGGCGGCTGCAACAGCTGCGGCTGTCCGTGCTGCTGCTGCTGCTGATGCTGATGATGATGCTGATGATGGCGCTGCTGATGAGCCTGGGCGCTGCGTCGCAGCTCCAGGACGCGACCCGATTCCAGGACAAAGCTGCGCGGACGACGCGATGCCGCCGCTGCCACCGCCGCGGAAACGGAAACGGACGCCGAGGCGGATGCTGAGACCGAGGCTGAGACCGAGGCTGAGACCGAGACCGAGGCTGACGCTGAGGCGGAAACGGAAGCGGCAGCCGAATTGGAATTGGAATTGGTTGAGGGCGGATTCACGTAGGCGCTGTCGGTGAGACTGTTGTCGTTGCTGCTGGCGCACAGCTGCAACTGTTGCTGCTGGCGCAGCGACGACTGGAGCGGCAGGCGCAGGTCCCGCAGCCGCGGATGCGCCGGCTGCGCGGCCGGCAAATTGGGCGCGCTCCGAATGCTGTTCATGTAGCGCTCGTGCTTGCCGGGAAACTTGATGGGCAGCGGCGCGGTCGACGGCGGCGAGGGCGTGTACCCGCGCGCGGGCAACTGTTGCGTGGACACGCCAATTGCTGTCGACTGTTGCTGCAACTGTTGCTGCTGCTGCAACTGTTGCTGCTGTTGATTCTGATTCTGATTCTGTTGATCGGAGCTGAGCTGCAGCTGACTGAGCTCTGCCTGCACCTGCAGCACCACCTGACATTGCCCATCCTCCTCCGGCGAGTCCTGCTGCTGCTGCTGCTGCTGCTGCTGCAGCTGCAACTGTTGCTGCTGCTTTGGCTGCTGCTGCTCCTGCAGCGCTTGATTCTTGCTATTCTTGGCGCGTTTGCATTCGAGTCGCGATTTGCTAAGACTCGGCTTGGACAACGACGACGACGACGACGGCGGCTGCGGCAGCTCGTTGCCGTTCCCGTTCCCGTTCGCATTGCTGTTCAGCTGCAGCAGCACCGAGTGATTGGTGATGCGATCCACTTCGTCGAGATCATCATCCGATTTGGCTATTTTGCAATCGAAGGCCGTCTCGTAGATTTGTCTACGTCGACTGGCCATGTTGTCAGAGTCGTACTCTGCCTCCTCCTCCTCCTCCTGTTCCTCCTCCTCCTCCTGCTGCTGCTGCTGCTGCTGCTGCTCTCCCTCCTCCTTGTGCTGCTCGTCTAGCGCAGCTGACTGGATGCAATTGGTGGCTGTGGAATCTGTGTTCGATTTGGTTTGAACTGCGGGCGCACATTCGATGCACTCGTGCACGCCATGCGGATGCACGTAGAATATGCTGCGGGGCCGAAAGTATTCCTCGAGCTCGTCAAGCTCGTCATCGGCAAGGCCAATGTCAATGCCAATGCCAATGCCAATGCCAAGGCCTTGGCCGTTGTTGCCGGGCGTCGGTATGCAGGCTCCGCACACGGCTGCTGGGCCCAGCAGGCGGTGCGGCGGCATCGACCCGCAACTCGGTTCGCTGGCCAAGTCCGTTGGGCAGCTCTTCAGCAGCTCCCCCTCGCCGGCGTCGCAATGCTGCAGCTGCAGCTGCAGCTCCCCCTCACCGCTGCCGATGGGCAACTGTTGGCCGCGCGGCTGGACGTTGCACGTCTTGCGGACGAGGGCCAAGGCCCGGGCGTGCCACTCGCGTCGCTTGAGGCACTCGCTGCAGTCGGACTCCTCCGAGGTGCTGGTGCTGGGCGTCTCGCAGCGTATGATCCGTACGCCCTCCTCCGTGAAGCTATACCGTTTCGGTGTCGACTGTTCGTTTAGGCCGATCTCCTCGAGCTCGTTAACTTCGTTGTTCTCCTCCTGCTCCTGCTCGTGCTCCTGCTCGTTCTCCGGTTTCTGCTGCTGCTCCTGCTCCTGCTCGTCGTTGTCGTCGTCGTGCTCCTGCTGCTGCTGCTGATGCGGCGCATCCAAGCTGCTGCTCTTGCGATACCCACCCAGCAACTGGGTCTGCTGCGTCTGCTGCGGCGGCTCACTGGCCGTCGACTGGCGGCACTTTTGCTTCGCCTCGCGGTCGAGCGTCTGCTGCTGTTGCCTGTCCGGCTCCGTGTCCTTGGCCTCGGGCTTGTCCCGGCTCTTGAGCAGATCCGAGTAGTAGTAGGGCGACGGCTGACGTTTGCTGTACTCCGCCTGCGCAACGGTCAATTTGCGTGGACTGCGCTGCAGCTGCGCCGGCAGCGGTCGCACCAGATCATCCGATATGCTGTCCGGCGAATTGAGCAGTCCTCCTGCCTGACCAGCTGCTGCGGCTCCACCAGCTGCTGCTGCCGGGAATTGTGGCGCGGCACGCTCTACTTCCTCGTCAATGTCCGCCTCCTCGTCGGAGGATTTGGGCGCCGAGGAATCTGTAAG